GGTTCGAGGAACATTACACAGGGTTCAAGGTATTGCCTTGGCCTCCAAGTTCCCAGATTGCAATCTGATTCAGCATCTGTGGGATGTGCAAGAACCACAAATCAGATCCATGGAGGCCCAACTTCACAGCTTGCAGGACTTAAAGGATCTGCTGCTAATGTATTGGTGCCAAATACCACAGGACATCTTCAGAGGTCTAGTGGAGTTCATGCTTTGACACATCAGAGCTCTTTTGAGAGCACTGTAAAAACCTACATGATATTAGGCAGGTGGTGTTTAATGTTATGTTGTGTCTGATCAGAGTATGGGGCTGTGAGTGTCAGGGTAGTGATTAATAAGTCAATTTAGAGGGCTGTGTTTAGATCAGTGTATGGGGCTGTGACTGTTGGTTTAGTGATTAATAAGGCTATTTAAAGAGATGTTTAGATTGTGGAATGATCTTTGAATTCTGTAATAACAGAGAAAGGTTTAATAATAAATGTTAACTGAGGATACTGGCTGCAGAATCTGAGTGTTATGAGATCACCATACTTGGTCCAAGCAGTAGAGATGCATAGCATTGCAGGTCTATGGTGCATGTGCAGCAATCTCCACGTTGCCAATATAATTCTTCTGTAAGAGACACACTGGGTGCATTCAGTACCATCATACTATTCGTAAAGACATAGAATGTGAGGTATGTCAAAAATGCAAGGTTTTGAGTAGGAAGCAGCGCTAGTGTCTGTCTCTGACAGCTGATAGAAGCGTAATTCTGGCCATTCCTCAGAATGCCGATGTTTTATATGGTCTGAGTAAAGAAACCGCATCTGTACACCAAAACCAACACTAAGGTGCAGTGGTTCTCTATATTGGATGTTCTTATCCTTGACCAGTGTTTAATTTGAGTCTGAGTCCTCTTTACATTTGTAGGTTGGAAATGAAAGTTATTAAGAGTTCCGGGGGGGTACCGCGGCTGTCCTACACTGGAAGAGATGATCGCCATTTTGTTCCTTACGGACTCTACATTGTGAAAACTGTAAACGGTGAGTGCAGATACAGCAGTGAGTTGAGGAGTGTTTTGTGCCACATTTAACACACATAGATCTTAATATGCGGATGAGATGGTCTTTCTGGTAAATTATATAATATACGTACAAAAAATAAAATGTGTACATTCACTTGCATATTTTGCTGCTGTCTGCTGCAATGCACAGTAGGAGTTCTGGGATATACAGTACAGCTGTCCGGATTTGTTCTGGCTGCCTTGAAGCGACTAGTTTCTTTCAGCAGAAAGAAAGCTTGATGGGCAGGGGACAGATGAAGGGGAGGTGAAGGGCCAGCCTTGGTAAAAACGAGAGTAGGTAGGACAAGTATTGGAATGACTGGGGGCCAGAGATGGACAGACAAAGAAAGGAAAAGTGAGAGATGAATGGAGCAAGGGCAAGGACTTCTTTAACATTAATTATCTCTGTAATTAGTACAGTTTCTCCTCATTAATATGAGGATAACATTGCTCTTTATTTATGGCAGATCCATGGACAATGGCTTTCAGCAAGAGTCACAACCGGAAATATTTCTACAACCTAAAGACTCAGAAGTCCATGTACGAAGTCCCAGTGGAATCTATCGCACCATTTCAGTAAGCTACTGACCTTTTACCGATTTATTTTTATTTATTTTTTCTTTCTCCAAAACCAATCTTTCTAAAGTAAAACTAAAGAACAGACAATAGCGCACTCTATCAATCTGTTCTAGTTGTCATGGCATGCTTGGTGTTTTCTATCTTTCTATGTCTGAGCGTTATTTCTCTTCTCACAGTGTCTGCTATTTCGAGCGTCTCTTCTGGGACTGGATGGGTGGAGTGCAAATTCATGAATCTCAGATGCAGGATCCAAATACAGACAAGCTCTCCAAAGAAACCGTCCTCAATTTCATTCAGATGCATCAGCCCTGTTCCCCCTTGGGCGTGCGAGAAGAAAGGTAGTGCAGTCCTTGGCTGGAATTAGACTGGTTGCTGGATTACCTGTAACATGGAACCTCTTCATTACAGTCCGTTGTTCTAAGACTCTGAACGCCACCTGTGCTTCTTAAAGAGATTGGTTATCTCAAGTCTGACCGAGACACCATCATAGAGCTGGAATAAAGGAACTGGAGAGTTTACACTCCTGATTAGAGGGACCTGCATTGCACTGCAGAGAAGATAAACTCATTGTTAAAATGCCAGCGTTTCTCCTTAGCTCTGTCTTATGTACAAATAACTATTTTTGTTGGTTAGTAGGAGGAGAAAGAGATTCTTGATTTTGTTTTTACATGTGTTAAAAAAGGCATTACTCCTCCACCATTCTACAAGCGATACTAAAGATTTACGGGATTATTCATTGGAGCAGATCAGAATATAGAGATAAAACAGATATCAAATATTGTCTGGGAAGGTATTCACTAAGCTGTCACTGCACTCTTCCTAAAAGCAGACCTTTTTCTTTCTCCCAAGAAATAGCTAGACCTTATTGCAGACAGACTGATTCGGTACTGGATTTTAAACAACAAATAGGAATGAGCAATAAGCCTGTTACAGTGTAGTCTGGCACAAAAGTAAAACAATTCTGCCAGTTATTACATGGCTGTTCGAGAAGGGAGAAAGGTATATTTTTCAGGGACAGATGAAAGGTTTGCTAGATTAATTCTTATAGGTGTGAAGGCAGCATCCTTCCGTCACACGTGGGCAATCAGTAGCGTACGTTGGTTTCTGTTTACCTGTAACCCCAGGGTTTCTGACCAAGTCAAGGGAAGTTGGAGCCTTGTGTACAACATACCACTGCAGCAGGAGTTTGAGCTTAATGCAGACTTGTACCTGCCCGTATGCGCCTGATCTTTCTGCACTGTATTTGGTTTTTGTTTTGCATGGCTTGTGATTACAGCCTGGGACTTGTACCCACATTATTAGAGGTGCACATTTATAAAGATGGCAATAAAAAAACAAAACTAGACTTTGGATCGCCCCAGATGTTGGCACCAGGAGTTTGAAAGTGGTTTGTTTGTTTTTGTAAAGGTTATCTACATGGTTCTTCAAATATATCTGGGACAGTTTCATCTCTCCGCTAACATTTCATACTTTTCTGTTCTAGAAGAGGGAGGTAGACCTGAAGATTCTCTGTGGATCTAACTCCAACCACATGAATGTAATACATCCATCGCCCAGGCTCCTAAACTGGTAGACTGTCTATTAACGATTAATGCTTTATTTCCTACAGCAAGCCCTTCTTCACTCCAAATGGAACCAGACTGTCCACATATCTCTTTCCGCCTGTCCTCTCTGCCACAAATCACAATCACAAGTACTTTCTGTTGTTGCAAATTAATCTGACTGAATAGCACATGCTTACTACTATATTGGAACAAGGGGATTGGAGACCCTTCGGCCCTGTACAGGAGTCTACTGGGGCTCGTGCAGATATTGAAATGGAGACAATATAGTTACACTGATTCTCTTTTTTTAATGCACTTTATAGATAATACATAAAAATGGTAAAAAGAAAATCACTGTATTATATAACAAATCGACCCAGGGAAATCATTATTTAGTGAGTCTGCCTGCAGCCAGATGTGCTCTAATCCCCAATTAGGGTTCCGCTGTGATTTTTCCCAAGCATTTAGGGCCATCCAATGGGTATCTCTAACAGGGGTCCGGTAAGGCGCCGCGTCCTCTAAAACCACGACCGGACCCCTGTAGTACTGGATGGTGGGAGGAAGTGACAGCACTTCCTCCCAGACAGAGTGCGCCACCCGGAGAGGGAGCGGCGGGGACTGAGCAGCTCACCAACCGCAGGCAGCAGCCCTGAAGATCCTCCTGCAGAAAAAAGGTAAGTGAACAGCAAATTTAAACGTGTGTGGCGCAGTTTGTGTCTGTATGTATCTGTATGTCAGATACACACTGACCCACACCGGCAAATAAAAACACAGATACACATACCTTGACACACAGGGTGTATCTGTGTCAGATTCATACACATACATAGATACACACTGACACACAAACACACCTTGCCACACAGTGTCTGTGTCTGATACCTACACAGATACACTGACACACCGGCACATACAATGTAATGGCGCAATTTTTTTTGTTTGTTAGTGGGGGTGGGGTTCCACGATGTTGATACACTATGTCAAAGGTTTCCATGGGAAAAATTAATTGGGAACCCCTGCTCTAGTCATTAAGATCTGGTCTTTGCAGGATGACATTAATTGGATAGTTCCAACCCCTCAAAGTGTGCAATGCGCCGTTATTTTTATAAATATGCAAAGTAGTGATGGTGGTTACAAGGGGGTGCTTATTACATGTATGCATAAACCCTTCAACCTAATAACTGGTTTTGGCCCGGCATCTTTATTTACTGTATGTCAGGGCTCTACAAATCCCAGGTCACCGTGGTGACTAAGCATTTTGCTCTGACACCTAGAATTGGTTGGCCCGTTCCCTCCCTCCTCCCGCAGGGCAACTGCAAGCTTGAAGGGCAGCATTTAAAGATGGCCAGCTTGTCCCCCGCCCACATTCCTCCGAGCCCGCCCACCCACGTTCCACAAAGCTGGTCCGTCCGCTCCCATTCCACAGAGCCGGCCTCCAGCCTGCTCCTTTACGCAGAGATGATTGCCCGCCCTTTCCCCTGTGCGCCGGGAGGAAGTAATTACAGTTCCCTTCACTTCCTCCTGGTGCACTGATCTGCACGAGGCTGCTCCCATCAACCACAGCCAGTAACCTATTGTCATTTGCTCCTGCCCAGTCCCACTGGACCACAGGGAAGCCACCCCCCCAGAGTCTAAATCGTAGGAAACAGGAGGGTGGCTAAACATATGTTTTTTTTTTGTGTGTGTGTGTGTGTGTGTATGTGTGTGTGTGTGTGTGTATGTGTATATATATATGTATGTATATGTGTATATATATATATATATATATATATATATATATATATATATATATATATGTGTGTATCAAATAATACTTTGTGACTGTCTGGGTGTGTGTGCGTTTAAGTCACCAGCCCCCTCTCATCGCATGGGAATGGTGGCGGTACTCACCTTTTTTCCAGCGCTATGCCAGTCTTGCTGCAGTTGGCCAGCCTCCATCGCTAAGATTATCAATCTGCGATAGAGATGTATTAAATCAATGCATCTCTATGGGAAACGTTCAGCGCCTCCATGCAGAGTGTGAAGACGCTGAATGTAGGTAGGAGACACATTAGTGGCCATTTGAGTGACGGCCACTAGAGGTGTTACTAGGCAGCAATGTAAACCCTGCCTTTTCTCTGAAAAGGCAGAATTTACTTTATAGATTGTCCATGCAGGCTTTGCAGACACCAGACAACTACATAGAGCTGTAGTAGTTCTGGTGAGTATAGTGTCCCTTTAAGAATTGTATTTTTGTAGTTGGGGGGAAAATAATGGCTCCTAACATTTTTTAGCTGGCTCCTAGATTGAAAGCAAATTTGTCAAGCCCTGCTTTATGTGACATTATGCTCACAGCCTGTGGCGAAACCAACCTCGCCACTGTGCACTGGAGAAGCCTGGTTGCCAGCCTCCTGCCATCTGACTATGGCCCCCTTTTAAAAGACTTTATTTTTGCCTGCAGAAAAGCTGTATTCGTGCTTTTCTGCCTGGGGTTCGGTAGATGTGTTTGAATGTGTTATACCCCAGATAGGAATCCCATGGAGCCCATTTGTATGAAACTGACTGTAAAGACTTTGGCTCCATGGCGATTAAACTGTATTCGTGTGGTCTGAGCGCCATTCACTTAATAATGTGCGCTCAGACCTGAGCTATCTGGGGATATGTGAAATGTCTGTGTTTTATGTATAAAAGGTGACTTTATGTATTTTAAAGTGTTTTGTGTCTTTTTGCAACCATGTGCTTAATGGAGTCTTGTGTCTGTCCTGGGAGATAATTGAATTACTTATCTCCAGGATAGAAGACTCTGAAACTGGTTTGGGCCAGAAAGCCATGCTTCATTTAGTCACAAAGGACTTTTTACTAACTTTTGAACCCCTTGTCTGATTTGTGCCATTTTTAATATGTTGTTCCCCTGAATGGATTGATTGTGAATGTGTAATTTTATGTGAATGTGATGTATGGTTTTAGAGTTATGAAAGTTGGGTAGAAAGTATGTTTTAACTGTATGTATAATTGAGTTTCCTCTCAGGATAAGGGGAGGGAATATGTGGGATGTAACTGTGATGTTATTGGTTGTTTTATACCTCCCTGTGGGCGGTCCTGTATTTGAAAACACTGTAATAAAAACCAGGCTGGGTGTGCCAGCACCTCAGATTCTGCTTAACCCTCAAAACGAAGTGTCGTCTCGTTATTGGGGGAATTGGATTGTGTGCTGACTGCCAGGAGTGTAAGCCGTTTGTATTGCTTTTCCTGTTCAGCTGCTTCCAGGGTTCCTGTGTCTGCTGTTCGAGAGTTGGTGAATACGTGCAGTTTGGAGTTCAGGAGGTTGGTGATTGCAGTAGCTGCTGGTCTATGGGAAAGGGGATTATCGCCTAAACCGATTTTATCCCCTTGTGAGAGAAACGGTCCGTTACAATTGGTGGCAAGCGGCGGGATCGTTCCTACAACCAGAAGGACAGCTACAAGACAACACCAGTGCCTGGATTACAATTGAGGGCAACGTTAGTACCCGTACAGCGACCCTATCTACAAAGGAACCAACTTCGGCAGAGCAAACATGGCGCCCAGCTACACTCAGGAGGAGTTTGACCGAGAGCTTAAATTGCGGCTGGCTCTTGTTACATTTGTCCCCTCTGAGGAATTCGTGCAGCGCGTGAGGGGACATGTAGCAGAGTACCTGCAGGTCGTGGCAGATCGCGCCAAAGGTGTCGTCCTTCCTCCCCAGCGGCAGTGTGTGTCCCAGGGAGCCAAAGGTGTCGTCCTTCCTCCCCAGCGGCAGTGTGTATCCCAGGGAGCCAAAGGTGTCGTCCTTCCTCCCCAGCGGCAGTGTGTATCCCAGGGAGCTGAAGGTGCAGTCCTTCCTCCCCAGCAGCAGTGTGAGTCCCAGGGAGCCAAAGGTGTCGTCCTTCCTCCCCAGCGGCAGTGTGTGTCCCAGGGAGCGGAAGGTGTTGTCCTCCCTCCCCAGCGGCAGTGTGTATACCAGGGAGCTGAAGGTGCAGTCCTTCCTCCCCAGCGGCAGTGTGTACCCCAGGGAGCTGAAGGTGTCGTCCTTCCTCCCCAGCGGCAGTGTGTGTCCCAGGGAGCCAAAGGTGTCGTCCTTCCTCCCCAGCGGCAGTGTGTATCCCAGGGAGCTGAAGGTGTCGTCCTTCCTCCCCAGCGGCAGTGTGTATCCCAGGGAGCTGAAGGTATCGTCCTTCCTCCCCAACGGCGGTGTGTATCCCAGGGAGCTGAAGGTGCAGTCCTTCCTCCCCAGCGGCAGTGTGTGTCCCAGGGAGCAGAAGGTGCCGTCCTTCCTCCCCAGCGGCAGTGTGTATCCCAGGGAGCTGAAGGTGTCGTCCTTCCTCCCCAGCGGCAGTGTGTGTCCCAGCGAGCAGAAGGTGCCGTCCTTCCTCCCCAGCGGCAGTGGGTATCCCAGGGAGCTGAAGGTACCGTCCTTCCTCCCCAGCAGCAGTGTGTATCCCAGGGAGCTGAAGGTACCGTCCTTCCTCCCCAGCGGCAGTGTGTACCCCAGGGAGCTGAAGGTGCCGTCCTTCCTCCCCAGCGGCAGTGTGTACCCCAGGGAGCTGAAGGTGTCGTCCTCCCTCCCCAGCGGCAGTGTGTTCTGCAGGAAGCGGAGACAGTCGGTCTCGCTCCCCAGCAGCAGGACAATTTATTAAAAGGGGAGACAGTTGGTCCCCCCCTCCAACAGCAGAGAGTGTTCCAGGGAGAGGAACCAGTTATCACCTCTCCCCAGCAACAGGACAAATTATTGAAAGGGGAGACAGTCGGTCTCCCCCTTCAACAGCAGAGAGAGTGTCAGGGAGAAGAGCTTGTTATCCCCTCTCCCCAGCGGCTGAAAGTATGTATGGGAGAGGAGCTTGTTACCCCCTCTCCCCAGCGGCAGCTTAGCCCACCAAGGGGAGACAGTAATCTCCACAACAGTGCAGAGGGGACAGTGGTCTCTGCACATGCACCACCGGGGGTAGGAACAGTCGGTCCTGTCCCCCAGCAGCAGGACTGTTTAGGCAAAGGGGAGACAGTCTGTCCCCCCCTCCAGCAACCAGGCTCCAACCAGACTACTCCCGTGGTAGTGCTGGCACCAGGACAGAGTACCGCTGGTCTCTGCCCACTCAGCAACCCACCCAGTACGCTGACCAGTCACCCACACAGCCATGGTGAGGCACCTGGACACGGACAAAGTTCTCCTCTACCCAGGTGTAGTAGCCAGTTATTGTGGGTGGGCTGTATTACTGATTGTGTTTTGTGGGTGGGCTGCTGGACTAACAAGGGCACTGACCGGCAGGAGGTCAGATACCCTGTTAGTCTGATTGGTAAAGGGGAGAAATGTGGCGAAACCAACCTCGCCACTGTGCACTGGAGAAGCCTGGTTGCCAGCCTCCTGCCATCTGACTATGGCCCCCTTTTAAAAGACTTTATTTTTGCCTGCAGAAAAGCTGTATTCGTGCTTTTCTGCCTGGGGTTCGGTAGATGTGTTTGAATGTGTTATACCCCAGATAGGAATCCCATGGAGCCCATTTGTATGAAACTGACTGTAAAGACTTTGGCTCCATGGCGATTAAACTGTATTCGTGTGGTTCTGAGCGCCATTCACTTAATAATGTGCGCTCAGACCTGAGCTATCTGGGGATATGTGAAATGTCTGTGTTTTATGTATAAAAGGTGACTTTATGTATTTTAAAGTGTTTTGTGTCTTTTTGCAACCATGTGCTTAATGGAGTCTTGTGTCTGTCCTGGGAGATAATTGAATTACTTATCTCCAGGATAGAAGACTCTGAAACTGGTTTGGGCCAGAAAGCCATGCTTCATTTAGTCACAAAGGACTTTTTACTAACTTTTGAACCCCTTGTCTGATTTGTGCCATTTTTTAATATGTTGTTCCCCTGAATGGATTGATTGTGAATGTGTAATTTTATGTGAATGTGATGTATGGTTTTAGAGTTATGAAAGTTGGGTAGAAAGTATGTTTTAACTGTATGTATAATTGAGTTTCCTCTCAGGATAAGGGGAGGGAATATGTGGGATGTAACTGTGATGTTATTGGTTGTTTTATACCTCCCTGTGGGCGGTCCTGTATTTGAAAACACTGTAATAAAAACCAGGCTGGGTGTGCCAGCACCTCAGATTCTGCTTAACCCTCAAAACGAAGTGTCGTCTCGTTATTGGGGGAATTGGATTGTGTGCTGACTGCCAGGAGTGTAAGCCGTTTGTATTGCTTTTCCTGTTCGGCTGCTTCCAGGGTTCCTGTGTCTGCTGTTCGAGAGTTGGTGAATACGTGCAGTTTGGAGTTCAGGAGGTTGGTGATTGCAGTAGCTGCTGGTCTATGGGAAAGGGGATTATCGCCTAAACCGATTTTATCCCCTTGTGAGAGAAACGGTCCGTTACACAGCCTTAATGGCAAACTGCAGCTGTTTCTTTAGGGATCCATACTACGATACCAGCACTTTCCTTACAGATCCCATGAGACATTAAACCATTTCTATTCACACTGTTTTGCAATAATGATGCCATTTATTCTTTAATATTAATTTCCCTAAAACCCATTAACTTTTACTGTATCTTTGAACTGGAATCTATATGTTGATTGCTGTTTTGTCAAATTTCATGTGACAGTTATGAAGCTGGTGTCAGATAAATGTTAAAGGAACACTATAGTCACCTAAATTACTTTAGCTAAATAAATCAGTTTTAGGGTATAGATCATGCCCCTCAGGTTTTACTGCTCAATTCACTGTCATTTGGGAGTTAAATCACTTTGTTTCTGTTTATGCAGCCCTAACCACACCTCCCCTGACTATGATTGACAGAGCCTGCATGAAAAAAAAAAAAACTGGTTTCACTTTCAAACCGATGTAATTTACCTTAAATAATTGTATCTCAATCTCTAAATTGAACTTTAATCACATACAGGAGGCTCTTGCAGGATCTAGCAAGCTATTAACATAGCAGGGGATACGACAATCTTAATTAAACAGAACTTGCAATAAAAGCCTAAATAGGGCTCTCTTTACAGGAAGTGTTTATGGAAGGCTGTGCAAGTCACATGCAGGGAGGTGTGACTAGGGTTCATAGACAAAGGGATTTAACTCCTAAATGGCAGAGGATTGAGCAGTGAGGCTGCAGGGGCATGTTCTATACACCAAAACTGCTTCATTAAGCTAAAGTTGTTCAGGTGACTATAGTGTCCCTTTAATTTTAAGGGAAATAATCCTCAGAGTGTGGTGGCTTGTGTCTGTTTTATGTAAAAACTAATCCCAAACAGATTATAGTATCGCTAGTAGTAGTGGTATATATTTAATTCAATTAGGTTTCCTCACAGCAGTTCTACTTGTGCCATCTTCACATCTTTGCCATCTGAGTGACGAACGCGATAACAGGGACCCACGCAATATTAGGCAAGTGGTTTTAATGTTGTCGCTGATCAGTGTATAGTTATGAAAGTTGTAAATCTGTACCGCACTTCCCTCTGAGCTGCGGCATTGCTTACACACTGCAGGTTGGGCACAAGAGACAGCACAGTCAGGATTTACATTTACTTTATTTCCCTGGCACTATAGTTTCCTTTTAAAGTTGTTTTCCTGGCATTACAGCGCCTCCCTCCCTCTAGTGCAGAAGGAAATAAAACCCCATTCAGTCAATTACGTGAATCCAGATATCACTGAAAATGAGATTTAGGCTTTTTTTTTTTTCCCCACTCCTTTTATATAGAGCTCACGTAGAAGAATGAAATCAGTCTGAGAGCAGAAAATCAGACTCTGCACCCTGTCCAATGACTGGGCATTCATGAGCAAAATATGGCTAACCGATTGATGAAATGGGACAAGCTTTGCAAACTAACCGCTATCACCAGGTGACAATGTACGGTTACCTCTGACCACTTCTCAGCTCACTGATCTCCAAAGCGAGAACAGTCTCCCCCAAGTGTTGCAGTGACCCAATGTACCCACATTTATTCACTGTAGCAGATTAACCCAAAGAGCATTGATTTCATATTTATCCAGATGTGACATTCTTGCGACATTTTCATTCTATTGAACACTGAAACTGCTAAATAAACTTTGCTGAACTGGGTCAATATCAACACGAGAGTTTATTCACTGTGACATATAACAGGGAATTTCTAGTTTGAACATGTAACTCGGGACTCCAGGGCATTGCAGTTTCAATCGTATCCGAAATCCCAGCTCGCCTAGAAACCCTGACTCTGGTAACAATTTATCCATTGGCTCCTGTATTGATTACAGCCCTGTTATAGGAAGTCCGTGTAGAGCTTGCAGAGGACAGAGCAAAGCATTGTTCAGTTTTCAAACATAACTTTTATTTTACAATCTGGTCTGATGTGCAAAATGTGTTTTAGAGCGCATCAGCATTACGTAGAGTATTCCATATACAGATTTATAAGCCTCATAAAGAATATAATAATAACAAACTGTCTGGCTCCCCAGCTTGTCCTAGCAAGCATCAGCCAGTGCCAGCTAGGTGTCCCATGTTTCACTACCCATTGAGCTTGGTCAGTTACCCTGGGCCCCAGCCTGCCCTAACTGTAACTGGCTGACTACAAGTATGGAGTACGGTAACCACTGTACCGTTATAGTCTTTCACTGCTCTTCTTGAGGCCAAATTGGTTCTGGAGGAATAGACTTCAGGAAGGTATACCTTTTAATCCAGGGATTCTTGCTTTAGAGACAGGAGACAAAAATGTGGTCCTTGTCCCAATGGACACCCACTGGCTAGAAGAGGTACGTTACATTAATCAGTCCCTGGTAACACACTGGGGATGGCAGTACAGGTACAGTACCCAGTTTAAGACAGACCCCAGAGGCAGGAACGAGTATAATGAAGGGGGTTTGCAGAACGTATTTTGTTATATAAAAACATTTGGAAGAGTGAGCCATTAAGCTAATTTTACAATTAGGAACTGCTTGGCAAGCTAATCCCATGAATATTAAAATAAAAAACACTGTTACAATCACAGATTAGATCTATACATCTGTTGCCTATTCCACCTGAAGAATGATAGATGTTTGATCAGTACAATCTGGGGGTGAACAAATAGTTTGCTTGAAGGCACTTTATACATCGCTGTAAAGTACACGTCTGTAACAGCCCTTATTTCCTGCACTTTAAAACCTCCACTTATCCCTTTACAAAGCAACCAGGATGCCAGCAAGCGAGGGGCATGGGTTAGAGCAAAGCATTGCGATCAAAAAGTGTAGTGAATATAAAGACAGAAATACATGTTGGTGCAAAGGCTCTCGTACACTTGGCTTTATGTAAGTAAAGTGGACTGGGCTTTCCCAATCTAGAGAGTGTTTATGTTTTAGTGAATAAATCCATAAATGTAAAGAAATTAGGATTGCACCATCGAGTTTGGAAACATTCGCTGTAAGCCCTTGTACCCAGTTATTTTAGCTTTTACATTCCAACATCAATTCTACAAAATTCTGGCTTTAGTGAATATCTTATTGATTTGATAAGTTTACAAAAGATTAAGACTCCTCACTTTTCACGTTGAGCTATCAGAGTGAATGATAATTGTAAATTCAACTTGCACTCTCATTACCATAACCACTACAGGTCCTTTTAGTGGACATGGTGCAAAAAGTCTTCAGACGCAGTCTCTTCAGCAACCAAAGCCTGGCTCCTCTGTTGAGGCTCAATGAATATGGAAGTGAACTTTTGCACTTGTTCTAGCTCTGTCTGTCATTAATGGCCAAAATTGTATGAACATCAACAGGTGTAGTTATGGTGCTTAGAAAGCCACTTGTATTTAGGTCCCAAACCTAAAACCGAAGTCTAAAATCCTTTGGTCGCACACTGTTCAAATTAAAGAATTTTGATAAATTATTATTTTTCTAATATTTGTAACTTTACCAATACAGATTCTTCAAGTAGGCCCCAGGAACTGTAAAGCACTTTTGGCAGCTCATTACAGAGGTATTATTTTGTACAATGATAGTCAAGAACAGCCAAACAGAGTCCACACATAGCTGTATATATGGCTAATAAAAGGAATGGCTGGTATCATCCGTTACATTCAGAGTAAGGATTTCATTTTACATTCTCTGGAGTTGTAAACATTTATGGGAGAACCCGAAGAGGGTCTGCAATATCGATCCAAGTTACCCCCATTCAGGAGTTTTGGGAGATTTGTTTCTGTGTGCGGTCAGTCAGTTGCATGGATACTTTGCCAGGAACGTGTCTCACACCAGAAGATTCTGGATCAGAGAAACCAGTTAATCATACTGCATTTTTGCAGATTTAAAGCTAATGCCCTGTTATACCCCAGTCTGAATGCCAGCCTGATTTGCGTGGCATAACAACATCCTCAGCATTTGGTGGATTTGTGGGGCATGTCATCATTACACATTGTCCTCCTTATTGGCTTTAAAAACCAATTGGTGACTTCCCAAGTAGAGAAAGGGGTCTTGTCTGCTGAGAAGGTGAATCCTGGATCAATATAATCTATCCTGGCAGCCTGCCGGAGTTAGCAGAATGTACACGCACTAGTGGTTGAACCTAGTCCTTATTTCCTAGAGTGGTTATAGTCTACACGTGTCCATGGAAAACCTGGAGGACAAGAGTCCACTTAGGAGAAACCCAATTTCTACCTTATGTAAACTGTCCTCATCAGTCTGTGCCCGAAGCCCTTTCCTCCTACGTGGACCAGGTTATAGTGAAATTGGGCATCTTCCACATGGTGGAGAATCAGTGCTCCTGCCGTCACATGGTCCAGCAGTAATAGCCGAGCGCAATTAACAGGAAGATTGCCACAGACACCATCATGTTCCTTCTGTTCTCGTGACGCAAAGATTTCAGTTCTTTCTCTGAAAGCAGAAGGTAACAGACTTAGATTAACCATAAACAAAGCGTTATCAACGTACCATTTAACCTTTATGCAAGGGTCACATCATTTAGTAGCTCAGAAAGCTTGCAGGATTTGTAGTTCTACTCAAGTGCGAGGAATTCACATATTAGTTCAGCTTAGGATGATTTATATTGGATAAGATGCACAGCCAGGCTGCTCTCTTCTAGCGTTTCCCGACCAGCTCCTCCACCAACTATGTGCTCAGAAGTAATGAAAAAATATAACAAAGAAATAAATGTAACATTAACTCGGCACTAAAGACGAGGAGCCTCGACAGCACGCTGGTCTGTCCCCCTTCTCCGCATTGCAACAATAACTCCCACTAACGGACAAACTACAATCACATATAATGAAATGACAAAGCTTCAATTTCAGTCAATTAATAATATCCATTTCTTTCTAAGAGATTTAAGTTTATGAATATTCTGAACACCTTGGACTCTTCCTGGTTCGGTCATTTTTCTGCAAGAGAATATTTTTTCTCACTGGGCATTGCTGACACCTGGTGGCTAAATAACATTATTACAATCGATGCACATTATACTTTGCATTTAACACAGTTGCCTGATGTAATGGCTTATGAGTGCAGTACCCTGACACGGTTCCTTGGTAATGGGGTAAACCATATAGCAACGGTTTGCTCTCTTACCTGGGTCCCCGCAGGGCTCAGAGGCTTCTAGCTACTCTGCTGACGTGCTTCCAGCTTTTGCAGAAGTCACTGTAAGTTCCTTAACTACCTATTGTTCCCGTTACATTTTGTTATTGTCTCATTTGGTAAATTCCCCTCTTATTGTAAAGCTCTGCGGAAAAAGCTGGCGCTATACCAATTAATAACCAATAATAATAATTCAATTATTTGAGTGAGACTGTCAGCTGACCGCTCTGGCATATTGTGCAAAAATAAATAAAAATTTCACAAAACTGACAGTCAGTCGGGAACTCTTGTTCCGGCCGTCTAATTACAATTCGATAACGCTACCAGAGATGGAATTACAACTCCGGCTGCTAAGGGGTTAAACTCCGTATGTGAACAGTTTCAATTTGAAACGCTGCACACACACAGACTTCAGGCACCATGACCACTTCAAATCAATGAGGTCATATGTGCTTGTAGTAACCCTTTAATGACAAATTGTCAGCTTTTTCTCTTATTGTAGTAAGTTGTGCAGCAGAGGCAACTATGTAACAAATGTACCAACACAAAGGTAATACATTGATAAGCCACATTAAACCCACTGCCAGGTGAAGGGAATAACATTTACCATGTCGTTACAATGGCTCCTGTCATTGGGTGGGATATATTTGGCAACAAGTGAACAGCCACTTTCTTGACTTTCATGTGTTGGAAGCGGAAAAATGGGCAAACGAAAAGATATGAGTGACTCTGACAAGGGTCACATAGTGATGCCTAGAGGACTTGGTCAGAGTATCTCCAAAACGGCAGAGCTACTGTATCTCAAATTGCTGTAAAACTTAATGCTGGCCATGACAGAAAGGTGTCACGACACACAGTGCATCACAGTTTGACCGGTCTGCGGCAACACAGCCCCATACTCGGCACAGTGCCATGATAACCCCTGTCCAACGCTGAAAGTGCCTTCAATGTGGATGTGAGCATCAGAACTGGACCATTGGGCACTGGAAAAAGGTTTGATGATACACACACCAGAATAATCAGGCTTCAGATGCAAACGCCAAAAAAAATTATAAAATAACAAGAACCCTCCATTTTATTATAACTATTGATAAACAGATGTCTTCCCTGTGGAGGTTGTCCAGTTGTTAAATAAATGATTATTTTAAAATCGCACTGTCTATTTTCAAGCATAGAATATTTCTGAAATGCCTACATTGTGTTTGAAATCCAATAAGACAAAGCAGAAAACATGTGCCGAGCTTCAAACAGTTTCCCTGGAGTTCCAGTGAGAGACTTACCGTAGTGAGACATCTTGTTGGTCAGTGAATTCTTCTCTTTTTCCAGAGATATCCTATAGTATAGAGAAAAGGAAAATAAAATAAAACCAGGAGTTAGTCTACATCCAGTTAAAGCCAAACATTTCAGTAACAATGAATATAATAAGCCTTTTCTTAAAGAACCACTATAGGGTCAGGAACACAAACATGTATTCCTGACCCTATAGTGTTAAAACCACCTTTAAAGGTGGCCGGGCCCCTACTTTCCCCCCTTAAAGGGACACTATAGTCACCTGAACAACTTCAGCTTCATGAGATTGTTCAGGTGAGAACTATAGCTCCCTGCAGCCTTTCTCATGTAAACACGGTATTTTCTGAGAATATGCAGTGTTTACATTGAAAGCTAGGAACAGCTCCAGTTGCAGTCACTCAGAGTGAACCAGAGGGACTTTGGAGTTGATGGAGGCATAATATGTCTCCATCCATTCAGATCTGCTGTCAGCAGAGCACAGGGCAGCACTGTGCACAGCATCCTGTGATTCAGTATCTCCTCCCTCTGCATGCAGACACTGAACTTTCCTCATAGAGATTCAATTCATCTCTATAAGGAGATGCTGATTGGCCAGGGCTGTGTTTGAATCATACTGGCTCTGACCCTGATCTGCCTCTTTGTCAGTCTCAGCCAATCCTATGGGGAAGCACTGTGATTGGACCAGGCTACCACATGTCAGCAGACTGCTTGTTGTTCCTGAGTCTAACAGCCTGCAGATTTACAGCTTCTGGCTTGAATACAGTAAGATTTTTACTATATTTATGGAGGCATGAGGGGCCCAGGGGGCTATATGGTCATGTTAACACTATAGGGTCAGGAATACATGTAGTCCCTTTAAAAGGTAATAAATATTTCCAGTGCTGAGTGGGTCCACAGGATCTGGCCCCCATCCGCCTCCTTGTTTAAATCCAGAATTTATGATTTACCCAAAGGGTAGGGTAAGCTGTTGTTTGGCCTATCACACCTCCTCATTGAATGAATGCATTCCTATGAGGAAAGTTCAGTGACTCCATGCAGAGGGTGGAGACACTGAATGTCAGTCACACTGTGCATCACTGCCCCAGGAAGCACCTCTAGCAGCCATCTGAGGAGTGGCCAGTGAAGTTATCACTAGGCTGTAAGGTAAACACTGCATTTTCTCTGAAACAACAGTGTTTACTGCAAAAAGCCCAAAGGGAGTGATTCTACTCACAGAACAAATTCAATAAGCTGTAGTTATTTTGGTGACTATAGTGTCCTTTTAATGTTACTTTGTGCATGTAACCAATATTAACCTCCTATTTGCCAGCATCACAATATGCTCCCAAATATGTCCTAGAACAGAACTTCCTGCATACGGAGTACTGGCAAATCTACACATCCCCCCAGGGCTAAAGGACTGGATCAATATATCTGCTAATATGATCAAAGAATAGATTGCTATGTTGAATAGACCATCAAGGGTTCTTAAAGGAACACTATAGTCACCTAAATCACTTTAGCTAAATAAAGCAGTTTTATAGTGTATAGATCATTCCCCTGCAATTTCACTGCTCAATTCACTGTCATTTAGGAGTTAAATCACTTTGTTTCTGTTTATGCAGCCCTAGCCACACCTCCCCTGACTATGATTGACAGAGCCTGCATGAAAAAAAAAACAAAAAACTGGTTTTACTTTCAAACAGATGTAATTTAACTTAAATAATTGTATCTCAATCTCTAAATTGAACTTTAATCACATACAGGAGGCTCTTGCAGGGTCTAGCAAGCTATTAACATAGCAGGGGATAAGAAAATCTTAATTAAACAGAACTTGCAATAAAGAAAGCCTAAATAGGGCTCTCTTTACAGGAAGTGTTTATGGAAGGCTGTGCAAGTCACATGCAGGGAGGTGTGACTAGGGTTCATAAACAAAGGGATTTAACTCCTAAATGGCAGAGGATTGAGCAGTGAGGCTGCAGGGGCATGTTCTATACACCAAAACTGCTTCATTAAGCTAAAGTTGTTCAGGCGACTATAGTGTCCTTTTAAAGAGTCACTAAGCACCATAACCACTATGCCTCATTGCACAGTTTATACGGTGAGAATGCCCGGCGCCAGCTCTCAGCTGAGAGAGAATCCGATGCGGATTGTTCATTTCATAGGGGAGAATGTCAGAATGAGAGGCCCCTAACAGGTGGTATTTCTTCCTGGTGATCGAGGGTCTGTCTTGATGTGTAACTGCTGTAGGATTTTAAAACAGTATCATTTTTAAAACTTTTTAATTTTATATTTTTGCTAGCATAATGTTCTAATGTGTGAGCTACATAATTCATTAAATGGCTATGGTGTTATTTTATATTGTTTCCCTGTAACAGGTTAATAAAATAACCATGCACCCTGGAAGCGGTGTAATTAACCCCTTCTTTGAGATAACGAAAGGTATGTATTTCACTCAGTCTCACCGTCCTTCCACTGTGAGCTCGAGTTTGCGCAGTTTAAAGTCCAGATCTTCAAGGTTATTTCTGCAGGACGCCAGTTTCTCCTCCATGTTGTCTATCTGCACACAGGACACAATTGTATGGATCACGATTATTAATATTGAATGTCATGGGGGGGAGCCTCTCACTGCCCCCAGTAAGAACTCATTGCATCCACTGTACCCCGCACTGCTCCACGGCTAGTCACCAGCACCCCGCAGTGCTCCCCAGATAGACCCCAGCACCCCGCACTGCTCCCCAGCACCCCGCACTGCTCCCCAGCTAGAAACCTAACCCACACACTGCACCAAAACTAGACCTCCAACCCAC